CCTTCCATTCTAGGACAACTTTTTGTGCTGATTTCAGGTATGCAGTCTGTTAAAGGGATGCATTGTTTAATTAGTAAGATATTTTGCCTCAAAAATGGCCCAAGTGCTAAAATTGCACAATAACATTGTGTGACTATATATTGATATATTTCAAATGAGCATAACATTAACAGTGTACTGTTTAGAACCATGAAACCTATATTCTAGTACACATTTGTATGCTTATTTAATTCATGACGTCTGTTAAGGGACAGAGTGGTTAGTTAGTATGATATTTTGCACCAAAAAATGGCTCAAGTGCAAGAATTGCATAGTAACATATATTTTAAATATGAGCACAATATTATCAGTGTACTACTGCCTATAGCCATAAAACCTTTAATTCTAGAAAACATTTTGTGCTTATTTCAGTCACGTAGTCTGGTAAGGAACACAGTCTTTAATTAGTAAGATATTGTACCGACCCCAGAATTGTGAAATAACGGTGCTTTTCACCATTCTCGCACAAGAGCCACTTTTGGGGGCCCAATATCTTAATAATTAAACATTGTGTCCCTTACCACCAGAGTGCATGACTGAAATAAGCACAAACGGTTGTTTTTGAAGTAAAAGTTTCATGGCTCTAGACAGTACAATGTAAAATTTATGTTCATTTAAAGTCAATGTCACACAATGTTATTGCTCGATTGTTGCACTTGGGCCATTTTTGGGGCAAACTATCTTACTAACTATTAGTTAGTAAGATAAAAGACTGTATCCCTTAACAAACTGCATGAATTAAATAAGTGTACAAATATGTACTAGAATATAAGGTTACATGGTTCTGAACTGTACACTGTTAATGTTATACTCATTTTAAATATCAAAATAGTCGCACAATGTTAGAGTGCAATTTTGCGCTTGGGCCATTTTTGGGGCAAAATATCTTACTAATTAAACAATGCATCCCTTTAACAAACTGCATAACTGCAATCAGCACAAAAAGTTGTCTTAGAATGAAAGGTTTCATGGCTATAGATAGTTCACAGATAATATTATGCTCATTTGAAATCAATCGTAACACAATTTTATTGCACAATTCTTGCACTTGGGCCATTTTTGGGGCATAATATCTTACTAATTAAACAATTTATCCCTTTAACAGACTGCATAACTGAAATCAACACAAAAAGTTGTCCTAGAATGAAAGGTTTCACGGCTCTAGACAGTACACGGATAATATTATGCTCATTTGAAATCAACAGTAAATACAATTTTATTGCGCAATTCTTGTACTTGGGCCATTTTTTGGGGGACATATCTTACTAATAAAACACTATATCCCTTAACGAACTGCATGCCTGAAATAAGCACATAAAGTTGTTTTAGAATTATAAGTTTCAAGGGTCTAGGCAGATTATTCTTAATATTATCGTTATTCAAAAATTAATTTTATTACATTTACGCACTGATACTGTCACAAATTGAAAAATACACCAAGCTGATATTTGGAACATCTGATCATCATATGTAAATTCATTAATGGTGCAAGTTTTAACAACAAGCGTACTTGCCCACAGGGTCAAAGGTCACCATGAAAACGAGGCATTTTTGTGCATTTTTTGTCCCGAATGACATTTTGACCTACGATTACCCCCTAAAATGATAAGTTAAAAATCCGGAATTTTTTGTGGTGAAATATTTCCAACTATATATTAATAATTTGTTGCATAAGACCCATTTAATAACTGATTTGGGTATTTTAATGGGGTCTAAAAATGGAAGAAAAATTACGTAACCAATTAAGTTAGGGTGTTTATGAACCAATATTTTCGTAACGCGATCAGGTATACCAAAAGTCATGTCATATTCCTGTTCTACAGCCAAAAGTTATTCTAGATATCAATTTTCAGTTAATTATCTTTACTCTATTTGAAGATATGGCTAATTGAAAATGCAACTTTACAAATATGTCATAATTGATAGCTAAAAAGGGGTATGACCCTAAAATTTCAAATGGCCGTAACTTCAAGTTCTAAACGACTTGGAATTGGCAAGTCAAATTTTGGGTTTGTTCGTCAGACATGTTGGTGCACATTATATCCGAGTTTCAAGAAAATCTGAGACGGTACCCAGCCATGATTTTCTGAAAATTTGTTGAGTTGGCACGGAATGACCCAAATTATCAAACAATACATTGTTTATTCCAGTGAGCTGCAGCAGTCTTTCTGCACATACAAATAAACAACATGCTTTTGCTTCGTAGGTTCGCTTCGCGTAGCCTTGCTTAGATTGTTTATATCAGGAGACAGGCTTAGATTGTTTATATCAGGCTTCGAAGCCTGCGCGCAGGTTAGATTGTTTATATCAGGCTACGATGTATCTACGAAGCCTGCGCGCAGGTAAAAGTGCAATATTTCACGACTGTACTGTAATATCACCTAAACAGTTTATGGGCTTCCTATGGAAATACCAAATGCCAAAAATAGTTTATTACAATTGGTACGGTTTAGTAACTAAGAACAATGACACTACTGTATAGAACACTATAAAGGAAGCACAACCAGAAAACAGGGAAGCACAACCAAAGTGTATTAATAATTTTGTCAAACATGCTGATCTTTCAACGACAAAAAAATTGAAAAATGTAATTAAAGCTAGAAATATAAAAAAACCTCTAGAATTTGATTAGAGATTTTGTGTTTAAAAATATTTTATATGGTAGCTATACATTCCGGAATTGCAATCAACATACTTTTAAAAATTCTCTCAGCCAATTCAGTGGTCTCTCCTCTTTTGTAATTAATTCATTTTTGCTAAAATTCTTTTTTCAATTTATCACTTTAGTGTTTTTATGTAACTTTTGTCTATACCACAATAAAAACCAGTGCCTTTGCATTACAACAAAAAGAAATGCAAAAACTTATTAATTTTACTGTACTGGTAGGAATACTTACAGTGCTGTATGTATAGTTTTATATTTATATTTGTCTTGTAATTTAATTATATATTATGTATTCCTAGCTCTGGAAAAAATGTTGTACACAGTACTGTACTATGCTTGTATGATAATACTGTGCCATGCAATCATCAATCTTGAGCATGCCATCCAGAATAAAAGAAGTTGAATAAAATAAAAATAAATACCAAGCAAGTAATGTACAATGAGAACAAGTGAATAGTCAGTTGGGTATTTTCTGAGTTCTCATCAAATCTGAAAACTTACCAAATAATGGAACTAAAAGAAACTTAACTTATATTTAATTTGTGCAATATTCAAAGACAAATTTAAATCATTTTTAAAAATAAATCATACATTTTACAGAAACTTTATTTCATACAGAAGAAACAGTGAAAAAAAAATCAGAAGACATAAATCAGAATACTTTCCATATTAATTAGAAAAACAACTGATTTTACAAAGAAAATATATACAGGTCTCCCTCCAATGAAAGACCACCTCAAATGAAAGATCACCTCCAATTAAAGACCACCTCCAATTAAAGACTATTTTTCTTGGTCCCAAATTAAAAAATGTTTTTATCTTTATGAGAGATTAAAGCTGCCAAAGACCATGGAAACCCGGGTACCAGAAGTGGTCTTAAATTGGAGGGAGACCTGCTGCAGCCTTATTTGGTAACCATTGACTGCATTTACTGTAAGTGCATGATATTTCGTCTAACTTGTATTACATCTATTTCAATCAACATTGATTGATATGATGCATGAAAAACATGAATAAGGTAAATAAACTATTCTTTTTCCATCATACAGGTAAGAGTAATGACAGGTTATTGTTGCTAGTCCAATGAAATTCAAGAAAGCAATTAAAATAAGCTTTAAAGAATGTTAATTAATATACAAAAACATTTATGATTTAACTACATTTCTTGTTGATTTTGTATGCCAAGAAAGTTTAAGAAGAATCCAACAAAAGACCAAATATTTATGAATGTTACAAGAATGCACATTGCCAGTCACACATCAAAAGGTGAGCCAATATGCGACAACAAAATCCATCCAAGAGCTGAGGAGACAGGCGACTGAAGCAGAGTTTGTTGGGGGGCATTGCTAATATTGGAAAAAATACTGGGTAAGTAAAATTGTTCAGAATGATGCTCTTTATGTAAAGTGGAAACTGAATAGTAATTGAGAATTGGTCATGTAGCCCACTCTAGCTGTTTTGTAATAATGTTATTTATTATTAATATTCAGACAATATTTATAAATAATTGGATATTACTCTTCTGCCTTCATCAATGAACTCATTTTTTGCATTTTGGCTTTTAAAAACAAATCTTGAGACTTTTTGGGTTTTTAAATAATCATGGTTCTAAATCTTCAGTTGTAAAACAATACAAATGTTGGCTTCGTTGTGGCAGCAGTCAGCTGTAAGGTAACAACCGCTTGGTGGTAGTTGCTAGTACATTAAGTGAAGTGCCGTCATCTGATATCTTAATGCATCAAAGTATTACAGTATTCTGAGGTTCCTAAATGATTTGTTTAAACTAAAACATTGTTGATATTTTGTACACATAAAATTAAAGGAATGATTTACTGAACATTAACATATAATTAATTAACATAATATTTTTATTTCTATTGACTACATTTTAGTGTTAAAGCTTGTGAAAATCTCGACAGTTTCAGTGAAGTATTTAATAAATTGATGTGATAAGTAGCTCACCGAGGAAGAATGGAGGAAACAGGTAAACTACTATTTATGAAGTAATTATTGTTTGCATTTGCACATCAAACCATTTTAAAGGACTTCAGTTGTCATTGGTAACAATCTGTCATGGTAACAATCATTTGTACACGTAGTGCACATCCTCCTTTGATTAAACAACAAAAAATATCCACAAACCATCAAAATTTCAGAATATAATTTTTGTTTTACTAAGAATTATGTATGTAAACATACATCACATATAACTTTCTTGTCTATGTTATCTTACCAAAATAAGATTTAAATTAATCGTATAGTACAAAACATAAATATAGGAAAAATGGCCCAGGATTACAGTAGATTACTTGGAAAAAAAAAAAAGTTTTATTACAAAGCTTAAATATTTTCAGGTTTAGTCAACATTGGTGAAAATCATCTTTACCTACATGACTCCGAATTAATTATACACATTCTGTTTATTCGCAGTTACTGTAGACTTTATTGCAATCTTCTCAAAATAAATTAGAATTTGTTCAGGATAGTAAAAAGTTGGAGGGGCACACCGTAGTTAAATGGACGCATCATATCTGGTGATTTGTTGTACTTTTAATCTTTGTGCTGAAAGGGAAAAAAAATTGTAAAAAGTATTCATTAATTCAATTGTTTAATCTTCAGTTTAATTTTATCTGTTTTTTTTAAAATCTATTTTTGTAACTTGATTTTAATGATTATAATTGATTTTAATGACTATGATCAATGATGTATGATGATGACGGTCAAATACACATTTTTTAATGTAATTCCATCAACTTTACATTTCTATTTTTGTTGACTGACACATCAATTTATTGTCACATTTTAATCATAGGACTTTCAGAGGGCAATTTTAGCCAGTTGTTGGTGGATTTTTCAAGATGGTATGATGGACTTGGATACATCAATATGCTGAAAGTTCTGTACACAGATCATGTGCCAATTTATACTGATTTAATTGGAGCTACTAAGGTGATGCCCTTGCTGCAAAAGTTAATTGGTTCAGGGAATTTGAGTTCAACAAATCTCGGTATCTTGTACGATACAATAAAAGTAACTGGGCAATTTGGCTTCAAATCCAAAGTTGTACTTCAACCTTTACAAAGACTTGAGGAACATGAAGTGTCTAAATTCACACGATACAGACAATTTCTGCTAAAACTAGGAATGAAACTGACTAGAGAAGATATAGACATGCTTGATGCACGACATAATGACATGCCTTTGTTAAAAGATTATAAAGACAGCTGGCATTTGATTCTGGATCTAGAGCAAAGGAAGGAGCTTTGTGAAGAAAACATTGGAAATTTCATTGAAGGATTACCAAGTTACTTGGCAGTGAAATCTTTACTTGAAGGTATGGTTGGCTAAAGAAGAAAATTTACAAATTTTAAATAATTTTAGAACGAATTTAGTATTCAATTACATAATACCTCATTTAAAACAATAGGAAGATTGTAAGAAACATTTTAATCTACACATTTATTCAACCTTTCAGACAGATTTCATAACACTCCTTGAAGGTGGAATGAATACTGAAAGTTTTTCCTTACTGAAATTGTTCAATTTGTGGCATCAAAATGAAAAGTATTGCATTATTGTAAACAAACGAATCCAGTATGGAATCGTTAGACCCTGAATGGCAATGATTAATGTGATAATTAATCATTCCTCAACTAGCTATAATTACTAAAACATCTGGACTTTCCGGGCTTATCCTTTCCGGATAAGTTTTGAGGGTTGGAGGCTGCCTCGGGCGCAATATCCCACAGCATGGTGTCAACTGACCTTACTTTTTTGAGAAATCTATTCAGATTAAGCACTTGAGTCTGCAATTTCTTTTCATCCATGCCTTCGTCCAGTGACATCGCTAGAGTAGTCCTCACTTAATAATAAATTATATTTTCCAATTTTTAAGCCGAAATATTAAGTTTATTTTTACAACGATATACCTCTATATACAATTGCTGCAGCTGAACAGAGTGGGTGGACTGACGAAGCAACCCAAATGTTAATTAGCATATGGGGAACGACATCCATACAAGATGGTTTTGATGGAACCCGACGGAACAATGCCGTTTATAAAGAAATCGCACAGAAGATGCGAGAAATGGGTTATAACTTTACGCACGCACAGATAGAATACCAAATGCAAGAACCTGCGCAAAAAAATACACCCAGGAAAAGGACTCCAACAGGAAGTCAGGGAAACCCACCCCCACACCCTCAACAGAATGGCCGTATTTTGAGATGATGAACAAAATTTTTGGCGTTATAGACCCATTTCTTGTCCACCACACACTGTTGACACGTCGTTGTCGGCTCTAAACACCAGTGGAACTAGTAGTACAGTAGTAGTAAGTCCGTAGGCTATTTTTTTTCCCTTTGTTTTTTTTTTTTTGTAGTTTTCCCAGTTGGCTAGGCTCTAGTTTCTAACGCCTGGGTTTTTTTTTTAAGAATTGGTTGGAGTTAGAGCATAGGTTAGGCAAGGTAATTCGTAGTTGAATTGCCTTGTTTGGCTGAGGAAGGCTAAGCGGTGAAGTGTTTGTTTTGTTTACATGAAAGGCCTATACCTTACTGTCCGTATCCGAATAATTTGGGGTTCGTAAACGAGCGATCTAATGACCTACCCTCTGGGCATTATGTCATTTTTGACTTATCCGATTTCGTTGAAAGTTCGTAAACACAACCTTAGTTGTTATATAAAGGCGGTTGTGCTGTGTTCTACTGTAACTACTATGCTGTTCACATTCTCAATTTTTGGTTTTTTGTACAGATAACCGAGATGTATCAACATCAAAACGACCAATGATAAATGAAGGTATGTACCGGGTGCCAAGTTGTATGATTTACTTGACAATAATATTTGAAATTGCCAAATTTGTGGCATCATAATTAAATATAGCTACATGAATGTGACTAATGTATACTGTACTTGTCATGTCACTCTAGACGTGCCTTGCTTTGTGATCAGTTGAATTCCACTGCTCGATTTTTGAGACCTTAAAAAACGGATGTACAGTACTTAAGACAAACAAATCTGGTAGTGGACCCAAATGATGATGATTCCTGTAGGGCCTACCAGACCACTATCCTCATTACCTCATACTTATAACTTGTCTGTTATATTCAGACTACTGTGCTGTGTTTGTTGTGTTCTTGTGTAGTTATGCTGCTAATGTTCACATTCTCAATTTCTGGTTTTATACAGGTATTGAAGAACCATCAACATCAAAACGACCAAAGTTAAATGAAAGTATGTACTGGGTGCTGATACAGCATATTACACTAGATTGAAATTCATCTCTCTAGAAATGATGTTTGATTAAATAACATTATATATTGTATTACATTAAATAATATTATATATTGTATGTTTGTGTATATATTGAGTAGGCACATAGCTCGTGTTCCACTGTTTGCATTCAAACCTTGGCTGTATTTATATTGCCTTGGTTTAACTTTGTGTTCATTAGCGGTACTGCAGTTGAACTAAAAAAATATGTGTGATAAAGTAAGTTAATAATAAATATTCATTACCGACAGTAGTTATTGTAGCTCCTTCATTCTTAACTAAAGGTTAGTAACAAAATTTGTGTTGCATTCTATTGTTTTTTTTTAAAGAATGAGTTTCATGATTTGCAAATCTTGTCAATCACCAATCAACTTGTACGATGTGGCTTATGTGACTGAACTATGAAAATCCACTGCTGAATCTTGAAGACCCAAATAAAAAAACAACAAATCTACATTTTGCAAATTAATCCAGTACAATACCAGATATTAAGCCCTGAATGACAATCAGTTCTATGCAATATTCTCATTCTTGTTTTTTTGTACAGGTAATGAAGAACCATCAACATCAAAACAACCAAAATCAAATGAAGGTATGTACTGGGTGCTAAATGATACAGCGTATTACACTTGACATATATATTAAAATGTAAAAAATATGTTTGATAAAGTAATTTAATAATATTCATCATTACCGACAGTAGCTATGGTAGCTCCTTCATTTTTAACCAAAAAATTTGAAAAAATTGTGTTACAAATATACTATTTCATTAGAAAATTTGTATTGAAGAGCAAAACGATAGCATAACACTGTTCAATCGTCTACCGTCGCAAGATAGGCCTTTTCCAGCCTTTTTTGCTTCATTGAAAAAATATTTTTGTTGTGAAAAAAAAATTCGAACTCTCAATTTCATTTTAAGTTCATCGGACTTGGCCCAGAAATTAATTTTTATTTGGCCAAATATATATACAATTGAATTTTTTTTTTAATTGAACATTTTAAAAGAAAATGAATAAAAGTTTTGACATATTTCAAACCTATTAAATATAAATTGAATTTCAAATTCATTCCATTATAAAAATAGTTATTTAATTATTTCACAATTGAAATAACACCAAGTTCAAGATTTTGGGCAAAATTCACATTGAAATCACAATCAACAACTCTCAAAAGTAAATAAAATTTCAATTTGTATTATACGGGTCCCCCTCCAATGAAAGACTACTTTTGGGAGCTTTGGTCTGTAATTAGAATTATAAAGATAAAAGACATATTTTGTAATATGGAACCACAAAAGAGTGGTCTTTAATTAGAGGGAGACCTGTATATACAAGTGAAATTTTTTAATATGTAAATGTTTGAAAGAAAAATATTAATAAAAGTTATCACATATCCAAACATATGTAATATAAATGTAGTTTCAAAT